AGATCCATGGATACTTATTAAGAAAGGACTCTAAATCCAGGCAGCGTTCAGAAACATACTTTCCTCACATAATGACTTCTTTTTGCCCATGGTGCTACTGTACACAACCAACAATTATGCTTTTAGGAAAAAGCAGAGATTTCCCAAGCAATCTGAGCCTTCCTGTGCTATCTGGGCACTGAAACAAGTTATACCAGCGACATTTGTGGATTCTCAAATGTATGAGAAATCCTAAAATCATTACATTAATTGCAGGAATTAAAGACCATCCAATTATGCCAAATACCATCTTATTTTCTCTGGAAATAAAGTGTAAAGTTTTGACTGGAAGATTTTTCAAGCAAATACTATAGGTCTTAGCTTTAATCTCCTCAAAAGATGATCTTCATTACTGATGCAAAACACACGCCACAGATTTTTACCTAACAACCGTGTGATCGGCCAAGCTAACTGCCTTTTAGAACTATGGCCCAAACAAGAATCTAAATATTATTTTATCCCTAAAACTTCTGTTGCGCTATGTATTTATCCGGAACACATGAGGCAGCCATACAACAATGAACCACAGTAGGAAAAAAATCCTGTAATTTGTTGCAGCTTGTTCATTTGTGAACGGCAATAAGCACAGTTGCATATCCTAAAGTAATACTCATGTACTTATCAGCTCATGTTTATGAAGCACTTTAAAGATGAAAAATCCTCGAAGTGCACAGCACTTGCTATAAAGAAAGAAAATAGAGACACAGATATAAAATAACACATGGCTGATTTCTTCTATCATGATAAAATACAAATAATTGCTGATTTATCATCAATATATCTCTATTTTTCTATTCAAACACAATAACTAGGATTTAAAGCTTTTGAAACTATCAACATAGAGATAATTACTGAAGAATGAAATACCGATGTTGCTAAACATGCAATTTATGGGGTACTGCTAGATGGGAATACAGAAATAAGATTTTGTTCTGTGTGGTTACAGAACTGGGCATTTCATAGTGTCTTAAGTATCACCTGTTACAGAGTGCAGAAATGAGTAATAGCAACATACCCAAATAATTTGAAAAATGAGCATGCTGGTTTTGAGAACAGCTGCCTGAACATGCCCTAAAAATCCACCTACGATGTCCTATGCGTGCCATGGTGTGACAGACACCAGCTTGCCCCTGGCCCCACTCAATTGGCAACACTTTGAAAAATTTTGCATTGCAGAGGACTGGACACGAGAATGGTGCAGAAGCAGCAAAATGAAGAAGAGCAACCATGGTATGTATCTGAGTGAAATAAAAGTATTTCTGTTTACAGACCACACTACCATGCCATCAGATGCCACATTTTGGCTTTAACAGAAACAAACGTAAATCAAATGGCAGAGTTTTTTATAAAATCTTTATGGACAACACTCTTTGTACCAGGCTTCTGCCAGAAATGGGTCACTTAAGTTTTCATACAAGCCAGCACTTAAGGGGGGGAAAAAAAAAAAAAAAAGGTAAATAAACACACAAAAATTTCTCATCCTTCTCTCCAAATGATTTATTGCTGCCAGAGCTCTAATCTAATTTTAGGTGAGCTCATCTTTTTTTCTGCCCTAGGAAAATTTAACTTAATATTCCTTTCCTTCCAGAGCCACGAGAGAGTACGGGCTCCCTTAGCCACCACAGATGCTGTGCTGACATTTTACTTCAGCTCTTTGCCGTAAAAGTCATCAATATCGCCCTGCTCCTGAAGAGACCTTTTCTAAGAAAAATGAAAACAAATTGCTGGCATTGGATCAGACTTTGACCTCTGCAGCCTGAAGTGGGGAAAGTAAGATCTGAACTCCTTGCTGCTGCTTTGAAACTTTCCAAAATCTCCCCCAAGCTGGCAAACTTTTTTTTTTTTATTTTAAGAAAACATTTTCTGAGCTGCCAGGCTGAGGCTGCCTCCCTGTGCACGCTGCCGTATGAGCCAGCCGGCAGGTACAGGCAGGCAGCCAGGGCTCCCACGGGCTTGCTGGCGCCACAGCCTTCCCCTCTCCAAAACAGCAGCAAAGTTTCGCGAGGTCTTTGGGGAAACCATTTCAGAAATCATCTTTTCATCTGCCTCCTTCCCATCTGTTCCCCCTTCCCATCCTCAGTATTCCTGACCTGCACTCTGTTTCGCCGGCGCTGTTCTCCTTCACATCTTCATTTCCCTGCCCCTCGTTATCCCTGGCTCCCGCACAACCTGCTGATCCGAAGCTAAGCCTGCATGGGAAGGGAAACCTGCAATCTGAAACACTTGCTTGCTGATTGCTGTTTTCCAGTCATGTACAGGTTTCTAGGAAGGTTTAAAAGGTTTTTTGGTGATTTTGTGTTTTGGCTTTTTAAAAACTGGTTTCTGAAGGAAAAATGAGGGTGACTACTCTGCCAGTTTTCCCTCAGATAACCCTCAGAGTAACTTTTTGAGCTCGTCATCTCATTTCTATCACATTTGACATAGAGATGGAAGCTGCAAAGACATGACACTGGTAAAGTTTGATAAAAATCAGTGGCTTGAAAGAGGAGAGGCACACCCCTGCTCACCTGCCCTATGGCCAAAAGGCTGAGTTACGGGCTGGCAGTTACTTGCTCTGTTTAGGTGCCACCAGTCAATCCACTGCGGTGCCATAACATTGTCTCCTGTCCAGCAAGCAGCTACTGGGCATCTAAGAGGAGCCAAAAGAGATGAGGGTTTTGCAGGCAGGCTGAGGCCACAGGGCACACAAGGAGCAAAATGTATGGGTGTGGGCAGGCTGATGGGAATAAAAGCAGATGCAGCAATGCTGGGCATGAAACCACTTCAAACCATCACCAAATCATTTGGTGTTTTTGGTGTCTCAGTGCTTAAAGTGAACCTCCTGCAATGAACTTATAGCATAAATAATATACTTTTCTATGCTTTAATTTCTCTTTTATTTTAGTACAAATTATGTGACATCTTGGAAATCTAGCTTTTTTCCAAATGCCCAAAGGATGCAGTGGAACATAAATTTGCATGATCCTTACACCATCTCCAAGAAAAGATCTGTAGGAAACTGCAAGCTGCTTCCTGGCATGCCTATACTCGCTCGGACAACGACTACAGGAAAGGATGCGTCTGAGCCCAAAGGGATGAACCAGCTTGAGGAATCTGTTCTCCGCCAAATCTCAAGATCTGAGAATAGCTAAATGTTTAAAATCATTGCCACAGCAGGGAGTCTACACCATAGTCACAATGTTTTCATTTTTTAAACACGAGATAAGAATAATATTTCCAACTGAGCAGGCAGCTGAAAGAGCAAATTGCAGGAAAAGACTGACGCGCTAGAGATTTTACACAAGCTCCTTGACTTGTGTTTTCCAAACATGTAAGGAAAACGATGCAGTAAACAGAAACAAAATTAGCATTTGCATCTCTGCATTGTCTGCACTCAAACAGAACAGCTCCTGTGCTACAATATATTTGTAAAACTAGGATTTCCTCAAGATCAAATAGCTGGATCTTCTCCAGAACATCACTCAAGTGTTTCAGACCATCTCTTGTGCACTTCAGTTACCATAATGTCTGCTGTGCTATGGATGTAGCATTTAACTGACAAATACGGTTTTATAACAGTACAGTAGACCAAGATAATGTCATCTCAGTTGATTTGCAACTTAGGTTCAAAGACTCACTGTATAGAGATAATAAATATGGTACCAGGCTGCCAGGCAGGAGCAGTCAGAAGAGACAGATGACCTTCGTGCAATATCTCACCCCTGTCTCTCTCAGGAATGTATAAATACAAAGTTATGAAAGCAGACACAGCCAGCCAGCGCGACACTGACCAAAACAACGCTCATTTTGTTAGAACATGAAACAAAACCAAAAACAAAACAAAAAAAAAAAAAAGAAAAAGTAATCAACTGCTTAGTTATAGCTGTGTTTGCTGTGTCTTTGTTTCCCTGAGTGCCTGATAGAGCGTGAACAAAATTGCCAGCAGTCGCATTACAGAGACAGGTTGACAGGTTGGATGACCCCATAAGTCTTGTTCATGTCTCATGTCTGGGCTCTTCACTTGCATCTTTAAAGACTTTCGTATCGATGCTTTTTCAGGGAACTCACTTTGCCATTCAGAATATCTGTGCCAAACCCAGACAGAGAGAGGAATGCTTTCTCCTACCTGCCACATCTATAATTGCAAGCCCTATTGGGAAACAACACCCCCACACACACCTCGGAGTTACTGTTTTGGACACCCTATGAGGGGAAATGTGCACTAAAGAAACACACAATCAAAAACATAAAAAAAACCCCAAAACCAGAAACCTCCAAAACCAGAACTGTTTATTCCCTTAAAATGCGAGGACCCTTTCATGAGGAGAACCTCTGCCCTCCCCCAGCATGCACCAGCCCCACTCTGCCTACATCCCTCTTACTCTGGTGGCATCAGGAGTCGTATGACACAGCAGGAAAAGAGACCGGTTCACTGTGAGACCTGCTACTCACTCTCTTACAGTGTAACGGCCCCCCTTCCAGCTGCACGTCGCTGCAGGGAGCTGCTCCCAACAGGCACCAACCCCACAGAGGACCACCTCGCTGCTCCTCGAGCTCAGGGAGAGCAGAAGGTGGTAGAGCATGGCCGGCCACTTCTGCATCACTACAAACCTGTCCACTGTGTAGAGTCTTACAAACGTTGGGGAGTTTGCACGATGAAGAACAAACCACAACAGTTGGCTTGAACGTGCAATGTGACTGCTCACACCAGTTGCCTCCCAGCGTTCTTTGTGCCCCATCACATGGAGCATAGACACTGAGGGCATGGCACTGCATCCAGGACAGCAGTGGTGGAGAACACTACCTCTGTTCTTCCATTGCTTGGTATCTCCAAGCAAAGGGTTTCTCAATTTTCACCGTATTTTCAAACAGCGACCAACTTTCTCCTCTGTTGTTCAAATTCAAAATTAAAATGCAACCAATAGGCTTCACCAGCAAAGGCACTGCGAGCAGCTGAAGAAATGAGTAACAGATGCAAATACCTGCTTGCTGTGCAGTCTGTGGGATCTGTTGACTCCGCTGTGCATTGTACTGAACTGAGGCAATGGGTCTGTACTGCTGAGTTGTTGAGGTAGGGTACTGACCAGATGGGTAATAATACACTGGCATCTGCAGAGAAAGAGAGAACAGCAGCTAACTGCATACTCTAAAATGCAAAAGATTCACAAAAGAAAACAAAACTGGAAAGAGACCAAGCGTTCAAGTCAAGCATATTAGTGGTAATCAAGAGGAGAGGTTTGCATTCTGTCTCTTCAAGAGCTTCTGCTTGCTTTCAGCTTTGCTAGGAAAAGGGCTATTGGTGCCCAAATTTCTTCTCAGATACTTTAAGAAACAGAAGAAAAAGACATTTAATTGAAAGAGACAAAAACGTACAGGATGCATAAAAGGCTACATGCATATACCAGTAAAATACCAAATGCTGCAGAAAAATGGATGCAAACACCACCTTCCATATCAACATAATATATATAGACAGCAGGTTGAACCATTACGTGAACTCTGGAGAAAATGGTCAATTTGAAGCAAAGAATGTCCTGGAGTAAAAATAGAAGTGAGATAGAGGGAAAGATGGAGTGTGTGTGCCCTTAACACTTGTAAGAAACAATTATTAAGTTCACGCTTCTGTTTAACAGCTACATCCTTCCTTACATGGATGTTTCTCTGTAAAGCCTCTCTCGTGCTTGGTGTGAACACAATTACAGCTCAAAAAACAATCATAGTTGTTTTCTTGCAGGAGCTGAGGGTAGGCATTGAGTCAGCAAGTTCTGCCAGGTGGGCTTCTTTCTTCTATTATTATTGTCATTATAGAGCAATGTGTACTACATCACCTTACCACGTAGGTGAACATGGACATTTAAGGGTGACTGGAGCTGAAGATTTTTCCTATACGTCCTATACTACCATTACTGAGACATTTCAGCTAAACAGTTTTCAACTGACCCTTGGCAAGTTCAAAGCACTTAAACTTTTTCATTTTCAGCTGTGGGTACGTGACAGAATTAAGCAGCGTATGATATCAACAAACTGCAGGGGACAAAGCCTTGGGAGAACATTGCTCCTCTCGTGACTTCTGCCACATTTGTCAGCATTTCTTTATAAACAATACGATTTCTTTTTTCCTTTTTCTGTAGCATTTATCCTACTCAGGCATACACAGTCATACTAAATGCTTTTAGGTGTTTTTTTTTTCATTTAAAAAAAAAGAATTATTTGCATGGAGGAAATGTTCCTGGAACACCTCACTCAACTTGACTACCCATAAAGGATTAGCAGAGTTAAGGTAACTGCATCCTTTTGTATATGGGTAGGACATCATAAGAGAGATCAGAATTTTTTCTAGAGACAATGTTAGATGAGAAAGAACATTCATAGATACAAAAGACTAGGCAAGAAGAGGGTATGGATGGCTAATGTGGCAAGCAGGAGACTACTGAATAGGTAACCGTGATGGGAAAAGTATCAGTATCAACAAAACTGGACTTTGCAATGTTGGTGAAGTGAAACCCCCAGACTGACTGACAGGCAATATCACCTGTCTATCAAGAGACTGAATACCCATTCATTCTTCAAGGTCTATTCATTTTCTCTTGAATCAATGGGAATCACATGGTTTTACCACCCCCATCCCCGATAATATCAGCCAGATTTAAAAAAAAATACCAGAAAGACAAGAACATTTCAATTGGAAAACGTTGTAAGCTATCCTCCTTCCAGACAATACCAAGTGACACCTAATGGCTACGGCCTTTGAGTCATTTGTTTTGTTAGAGACTAAAGCAATAAAAGCAAAATGCCTTTGCAAAATGGACAAAACCATGATGAGTTTGTTTCTCTGCAAAGAAAAGTCACAAGGTATATGAAAGTTGACCCAGACATTCCAGGTGCAAAAATCACTCTTTAACCATCATAGCAGTGTAAATAAGGGATCAAGCAAGTTTAGTGTGATAAACTCAACTCGTAGAAATCTCTGCAATGGGGGCCTTGAAAGAAGTGAGAAGACTCAGCCTAGTCAATGCAAATAGCTGATCCTGCCTTGGAGCAGGGGAACACAGTAGATATCCTCTCAAATATTCTTTATTTTCTATTACCCTATTCTACAAATTAAAGAATATTAAACCCCTGTGGAAATACTCTTACTTCTCCTGGCTGCAGCTTAATCTCACTTAAAAGATTTAAATTTATTTGATTTACCCTCAATTTCCTCATTTTCCTTGTGCAGACAAGCCTCTAGATATTTGAAAATACACGAGCACATGAGAACAATGTGAATTATCTCTTGTGGGAAGATTCTGTAGGAATTAACTTTAAAACATAGACTAAAGAGTACAGGTTTTGAAGAGTCGTTTACAGATGAACATGCTTAACACAAACACATATGTACACTGGAGCATTCAGAGTAATTTGGAAACAGATATTTCTTTTTACCACACAGGTAACAACTCAGAGTTAGTCAAAGGGTTTTCTCCCTTTCTTTGAGTTTTTCAGTTCATTGGAATAAATTTGTTATGTGCCCCATTTAGAAGCTTATCAGAGTGCAATCTATCAGCCTGAAAAATGTTAGTAGTAGGAGCATTGGGGGGAAAAAAAATAATTTCATTTAGAAAGATTAATAGACAGATTTTCTAGTAATCATGCACACATGACTTGCAAAAAAAGAGGTTTGGTTTTGAGGTTTGGAGGCGGTCTGTTTGGTTTTTTGTTGTTGTTGTTGTTGTTTAGTTGGTTGGTGGGGTTTTTTTTAAGGGATCAGCCATTAAAAGAAGCGGTTGGTGTAAAATACAGACATGGATAAAATAGGTCTTTTGTGGTTGAGGGGTTTGGAAGGATCCATTTTCATTTCTCTTGAGTACATCTCTGCATCAGCAGTTGAACCATATTATTTGTCCTTTCTGATATTACCTTAGTAAACAGTGGAATTAGAGGGATCAGAGATAACAAGTATCACTTACATTGTCTACTCTGACCCTCTTGAATTTTTTAGTTTCTTGTTACATCAGTGTTACCAACACCTCTGCTTATGTGCTCTTCAACAAAAACCAGTAGCAGCCTACTGACGTGCCAAATTATATTTGAATCGCTTTCCCCTGTGAATGCACAATCTAACCTTGGACCATTTTGCTTGTAACATATTTCATTTACAGAACCAGGGAGCTTCCACTACACTAACAAGCATAACAACATAGCTACATGGTTATCCTAAAAAAAAAAAATAAAAAGCATAGTTTCGTGATCTTAATCCTTGACACTATGAAAAATCCCCCCCCTTTAATAATTACCATGGAGATAGTTGACAGACGATCCTTATCCCCCTTGGATATTCTTATTCTGAAGGTGAACACTCTTCTTGTTTGTAGGCTGACCATTCCAATGCATCTCTCTTTTTTCTCTCATAAACATAATTTTCTTCACTTAACTAACTGTAACAGGACCAGGCACATCACTTCAGAGAACTCACGAAATGGCACTAGCAGGCATTACTTCTTCCTCCTTCTAATGTGCTTTTTCTCTAGGTGATGGGCAGAGACTTAATACAGCATTGGCTTTCCACTTTGTTCTGTCCACGTACAGTTCAAAACCCATTACCAGACCAGGTCTCCCTTGGACTGCTCTCTGACAGCACCCCTTAAATTCCCAGGTATGTCCTTTATTTCCTCGTGGCAAGAATAGGATCCCACACATCTTTCAGACTGATTTTACTTTCCTAACTTATCTCCCTCCTGACTTACAGCTTGATTCTGCCATCAGACAGGTATTCCACCTTCTCTTAACATCGCTGACAACCAGTTAGGTCTGGATTAACACCTTCATCCAGATGATTAGTGATGCTGACACTATTGCTAGTGGCAGCTACAGTTGCATAAATGGGGGTGAAGACAACAGAAACCACAGTGATGTATGGATACATGGAGGTACAATTTCTTCTCAATACCTAACTGACCGGGATCAGTCATTTTTTAAGGATTCTTCTCTCCCCCATACCCCCTCATGCTCCATAATAATTAAAATAACAGTAACAAAAAATAATGACCTGTGTACAACCACAGGCATGTCCTCCAATATAATTTTCTGAGATCATCAGGGAAAGACCCACTCACTTGCAGTGACTCCCCAGCCTTTTTCACAACAAGATTCCTAGAGGAAACACGCTATGAATAAAGATTTTGTCTTAGGGTAGCTATGGACTCTCTAGGAGGGGGCTTGTGCAAAGAAACAGCTAAACCCAATGATGACACAAAATTAATTCCAGTGAAAAATCCCTCAATACGTGTATTCCTTCTTCCAGACTCTCCAAGAATTCATGCCATCTCATTTTTGGATGCAATTTTGCCAGTACAGCATCCACAAAGAATGTGAGGTGAAAATAACTTTAAAGGGAGCATGTGCTTTCCTATTGGCATAATACTCGCAGTTTTCCCATTTCTTCATTTGCAGAGGCAGAGCAATGACAAGTGCCAGTGAAAGAGTGCTGCAAAAACCAAATGTGGACCCTTGTGGAAGTGCCTGGGCCCATAAGTACTACAGAAGAATCATCAAAAAGAGAAGAAAATTGAAAACAGAAGAAAATAGGGAAAGTAAAGATGTATGCTTGCTATTTGTGAAACAGAAAGCAAACAGGAATTTGCTGCTAAAAATCCCTTTCAGCAAACCCAGAGTAATGGTTGGGGTTTGGTTTTGTTGCTGGCTTTTGTTGTTGTTTTTTTTCCAGTTGGCTAAACGAAGACAGACCATTATTTTCAGGTTATGAAATCATGACTCTGTTGTCAAGCTGGGGAACAGCTGTTATGAAAGGAGCAGCAAAAGAAATGCAAGGGGTCCTCTCACCACTTCGTAGGCACGCCATTTCAAACTCAGTCTGCTTCTGCTTTGATACAGACTAGAAGAGGGAATATCTTGGAGAGCAGCTGAGGAGCCACATCTAATTGAAATTTAATACAAAAGCTAATGATTTAAATGCAGTACCTTTGGGTTTGTAGGCTTGGAGAGCATTTCCTTCTCCTTTTTTCCCAGAGGGAATGATCATACTCACAGAACCTCTACCCAAGTTTTCCTTGCCCTGATACTTTCCAACACCACACAGGGCCCCACAGCCAACCCAATAGAACCTTATCAGCAATACATTTACAGGAATTAATTAGCCATTAGAGTCAAGCTTCTTTTTCACTGGTATAAATTCAATAGCAACATTTAAGATATAAAAGTGCTTTTATATTGATTGCAGTGCAATTTATATTGATTGATGTTTTGCATGCATTACCATTTTTATTGCTTTTTTTTTTTTTTTAAGCCTGCCTCAGACCACCTGCTTTGGCATCTGAGAGCAGCCTTACTATTGCACCTAAGCCCAAAAGAGTAACAGGTGATTCAGATTGCCAATACCCACTGCCACAGTGAAGTTTTGCCACTGGCAGGACAGGAGTCAGGGTCTAGCTGCCCTGTGCAGAAAGTGGAGCTGTTAGGGTACAGGAACCACTGTTTCCAAGGCTTCGCTCATCTTTTTACAAGAGGGATCCCCTACTTGCTGTACAGGTGCTACAAGTAGTATGCAAGCCGCCATGCCATATTCTAAGGCCGAAGGGAATGAATTAAAACTTGAAACGTTGATCAGAAGTTCCCATCTGTGGATGCGGATGCAGAGAACTGCTCCCCCCTTTCCCTCCCAGCAGACCAAGGCCACTGAGCTTTCACACTACAGGAATACAGGCTGCAGGACTGACCCCCCCGTCCCCTCTTCCACACAGGTATCTGGATGAGACAAGGATTTTCTGGAATAGTGACAAGCTGGAGATGAAAGGTGCGCGTGGTGCAGTGGATGCAGAGGAAGGTGACAGCACCAAATTTCTCACCTTTCTACACCCCCCGAGGACAAACCATTCCCCAGTGAAATAAATGAAGTTGCTGCAAATCCAAAAGATATTTTTCTGCTTTCAGTAACTTTCCACTTTGTTAGAATGTAGGAAGAAAGCATCCGTATGTACTGTATTTGGGGTAGGGACAGAGACACAGCGGCCATTAGACACACCAGTCCGGTACTGGTCCTACAGCAGCCTAGGTATGAAAAGGCACCTCCTCATCTCTTGTCTTCTGAAGAAGTTCATCTGCCTCTCCAGTAGCACGGGAGTAAGTATTAATGAGGGGAAAACAGCTTCACAAAGTAACACAACGCCAGATTGAGCAAAAACCCTGTGCCCCGCTAGACACGCAAGCAGCACCTCCAGGGCAGGATGCAAATATGGTCTCATCTGAGGGGGGAGAGGATGTGGCATGGGGTCCCCCGCCACAGCAGGCAGCCCCACGCTGCTGCAGCCCTCTGAGCTCCTGCAGCAAACCCCAGCCGGCAGGGCTGGGAAACACATCGCTTCGCCTGCTGCGGTGACAGCTTGGAAAATGGAGGTGCTCGAGTTTATCTGGTTCACTAGAAGTGTGGTGAGGTTTGATTAAATGATGCTTGAAAATGCTGAGGGCACCGGGGGAGGGTTGTACATGAGGAGAGAAGCCTGGACAGCCTCTACTTACTCACTTAGGAGACCCAGCCTAGATGGGGAGGTGGATTCATCAGGGGATTCTGCTCTTCAGGTCATTTTTTCCTCCGAAATTTTTAAAAAAATTCTACATTTGGCAAACAGTGAAATCTTCTTCTAGCAATATTTTCAATTTAAAAAAAAAAATCACATTGTATTGTACTTCAGGTCCTTAATTATTTTTGGCAATCCTTCTCTTCTCTCAGAAAAAATGGCTGCACAGTTTCTTAGCTACAAAACTACGGATGTCACAGTCCTCTATGGGATGTGAGCATCCAGTAGTCTTCAGATTTGTTTCATTGTTAATTAGTGATCTAATAAACTAGATCTCTAGCCCACTTAAAACATTGTAACAGTATAAATTCTACATTACCGTGGCAATACAGAATCCCATTAACAAACACAATTGGAAATTTTCAGTAGGAAGTGGCAAACAAAAAAAATCCGGTAGGGTTTACACTACTCTTACATTAGAAGCAATGGTGAAGTTTTTTTTACTTTTTTTTTTTATATATATTTTCTTCCAAAGGATAAAATGAAAACAGGAGAAATACTATTAATGCCATTTTAAAGTCGAGTTTAAATGAAGTTACCTATAATTGGATAAAGAAATTTGGCTTTTTAAAGTGTATGCCTTGAAAATGGGCCAGAAAGTCATCTGTGCATTTTACTTCTTGACAGTAATCACTTTCAATATTCTGTAAAGGTACCCAGGAGACAAGTAGAGATGTTTGGTAGTGAACAGTAAAACATAATCAGTCTTCAGGAAGACAGTTAAAATTACTGATCTGTGACATCTCACATGTTCAAGTCAATTAAATATGATTAACGACTACCTGGGCTGATGTGCATGTTGCTCTTTTGGTATATATACAGGGAAAAAGGACTACAGATATTTACTCACCCTCCTCCTTCATATTCATGTCCAGATGTGTCCTGAAGTATGAACATATGTTCAGAAAATGGTTTGAGGATAGGGAAGGAATTGCTGAAACCCAGGAAACGATAGAGGCTTTGCAAGTTTCCTGCTGCCTAAAAATCTGCTAAGCTTTTACCGGGGGGGCGGGAAATAAATCATCTAGAATCTGGATTTTTTTTTTTTTTTTTTTAATGTTGTCTTTCTGATGTTTTAATGCCAAGCTGGTAGCAGAGGTTTTGCCTACCTGAGCAGGTGGCGGTGGTTGTTGCACAAAGCCCTGTGGCGGCGGCTGCAGCACTTGCTGGGATACTGGTGGACCTGAACCTGTAAAGCCTCCTGGGGGAAGCTGCTGACTTGGGGAAGCCATAATGTAACCCGTCTGCTGGGCAGGCTGCTGCAAGATAGGCGATGGGTAGACAGGACCAGAAGGCGATTCGGGGTTGTCTCCTGATGATTGACGACTTAAGCTCATCTGGTTAAACTGTGTTGTCATGTCATCTCGCTGCGGGGCATAAGGCAGTAGAAAATGATGTAGACACGATGTCTGCAGTAGACACGCAAATTAGCAAAACAAAACAGGTTCAAACAGAGCACGAGAGGGAAAGGAATCACTCAGCTCAAATACTTGCCAAACTTTGCATGGATATCTACAAAAATGGAGGCAATTAAAAGGAAAATCACTATAAATGCTTTGACAAAGACTTCCAGACTGCATTGTGAATGGCACTGGTTGTCACAAAAGCAGATTATTTTGGCTTTTACCCTGCTCCCCCCTTCTCCCTGCCTCCCCCCTCCTTTTATACCAAAAAGGCAAGTGAACTTTACAGTGTTCAAAAGAAGGCATCTTAAGTATAAAGGGCAGGAAAATAATGTTATGAATAGCTCTTCCCCCAAACACAGAACTCCTCAGCCAAACACATGCTGGTAATTTCACCTGTGTTTCAAAATGATCCCAAGAGGAATTCAGTAGGATGCAAGTGCAGATCTTTTCCTTTTTGGACTGTTTTGAAAATCCAAGGTTGTAAACATGGAGAAGGTAAAAAATGCTAAGCCTTTGGTTGCTATTTCAAGGCTTTTTATTCAGTGTTGGAAAGAAACAAGTACTTTCTTTGACTGGAGGGGGAAAAATAAATCTATGGTAGGATGAATGTATCAAATAAAGTCAATGGACCTAAGTTTCATTACATGCTGGTAATGGTATAAGGATTCTAGACAGTATCTGTTCAGCCTTGCAAAAAGATCCATACTAATCAACACTGAATTTTATTCTGTGAAGGTCAAAGATTGGTAAATGTGGATCTATGCATCTTTGTTTGTGCCATTATCATAAGACTTTTAAATACTCAACATTAAAATGTACTCTATATGACAATTAATCCAGCAAAAAAACTCCATCATGTGCTAACATGCAGACTACGGTCCCTTCCTTATACCCCCTCATGGATAGGGAATAAGCACTATAAAAATGCTTATCACTCAGAATATCAATGCTATTTTTTTAAAAGGAGCTTCTTTGATTTTGTTCACATCCCTGTGGCATTCATTCTCCAAAACCATCCTGCACAATGTATTTATTGGCAGGAAACTTAAAAAAAAAAAAAAAAAAAAAAAAAGTTCGTTTGTGGAAAGCACTGCCAGAGGCTGCACAGAGACTCAGCTCTCCTACTCTGTGAGCAGATACCGTGGGCCAGCACTTCCCACATTCCTGGCAGATCTTCAGGTGGTGTAAGAAAGTAATGCTATTAACTTTACCACCATCCTACATCCATATTCAGGCACCTAAGTTGTCTGTCTGAAGTTGTTCCTTCAAAAATCTGGGATATTCATTACCTGGATGGCGAATGACTGCAAACACATTATATGAGGAACTTCATTGAGCCTGGAATGTCTCTGGATTTGTACAATAGAAACCAAGAGCTTCAAAACCCTATAATTTATACATTGTGTGTATAATGTAATGTACACTTAAGACATTAATTCAGGTGAAGTTTCACTATTAAATTAGCCACTGAAAATATCAAACTTCCTATGGCTATCACTAGAACAACCTGAGATGCCTACAAGACACTTTTCAAGAGAATTAGCACTGAGATATGCAACTTCTGTTCAGCATGGAACAATTTTTATTGTCCTTTAAATGGTACTGCTCATCTACCGGCATTAATAACATTATTTTAGCTGCAAGGACCCATTCAGCTTTGTTTCCATCTCTTACTATAACTACGTGACATCTCTACCTTGGGAAAAAAAAAAAAAATCAGTCATAAACAAGATTACCAGAGCAAGAGAGAAAAATCACAGAAAAAAATCTTGTAGTGCCTCTTAAAATGTCAGCTTCATTTTACAACAGTATAATCTTAGCCCTCAAAGCACCAAGCCAGATTCAGACTCCAGAAGAGCACTCCATTTATTTTTATTATACATGTTCATTGGTGCTCTGTCATGATGCATAGCATACCACACCTTCTGCAGCTGGTTCACCGCTACTCTGTTTTCCAAGTGCTCTGGTATCATCAGGGAATAAACCCAGGCAGTGAATTCAGTATATTGATAAAATAATACAAAATAAAAAATAATGATTTCTCGAGGTCTCTTTTCCAGTCTTTGTGGACACAAAAGGGGGATAACCCAAATCTCAAATGCCCAAGTTAGCAATTTAAGTTCCTTCGACATAAAGTGGGGAGACACAAGCTCCTGTCATAGGCACAATAAAACATTCTTCTGGAGGTTCTGCTAACCAGGTAGAGAGCCCTGCTCCTAACATCATCCTCCAGGTTAGACAACCACAATCAGTGGGAACACTCTTACAAAATGCTTGCCAAGTACCAAAAGTGCTAAGGCAAAGGGGGATCTAGATGGGGCTCTCACGTGGGATGCCCCTTGCAGTGTTCCCCAGAGGTTCTCTGACACACTCATGCTCACATACCCAACTTCAAGGAAAAGGAAAAAAAAAAAAAATTTTTAGTACCACAGAAAACTGCTGCGTTGGAGAGACTGGCAGGAGATGCTGGGGAGGATAAGAAACTGCTGGATATTGGACTGACTGAGAAGATGGCTGCATTGCCTGAACAGGCTGCAAAATAAACACAGTGAAAGACAATAAATACAACCTACTTAGAGACAGATAACAACAACAAACTCTGTTACTGAGAACAATGGTCACAAACACAGCTCTGAAAATGCAGGTGACTCATTGCCAGCCCAAATACAAGAGGTCAGGTGCTGTGATTTTAGTCTTCATTTTAGCCTTATACCAAGCAATTCTTTATTACAGATTTTTCTGCCTGTTTTCATATATTTGATTGCTGTTAGATTAAATAAAGCCACAGCTACACCTTCTTATTACTGATGTGAGGCAAAGCCAAATTATGATTTTACATTTAATTTACAGAGATAAAACGGAAAAGCAGCACAATGTAAGTGTATATTTGAATTCTCCTGGTAATGACTAATTTAACTCTGAGTGTGTCATAGGCATAGGAATAATGATTTTAAAGCTGCTTTGGCAGAAAACAATAGCTAAAAAAATTGACAAAGAACAGGCTGAGAATTAACAACAAAGACAGGCCTGTCAGCTTGGAGCAGATGTTTATCAAAGTGAAATAACAATTTTCTACAGCACTATTACCTTGGAATAGCTTTACTACTCCTTTTGTTTTAATCTCTCATTTAACTTGAGTCTTACACAGGTTTTGGTACTACCTCCATCTTCTAAAACTGCTAAGACCAAATCAAGAAAAAGAGCCACAAACACCCAAGCCCCAGTAAAATCAAAGCAACCTCACTAAATTTAAGCATTGTATCTCTAGGTGACCTGGAATGAAACAGTGCCAGATTATCAAGCCACACAAGAACCACAGTAGATCTTGGCTGTTCTGCGGGTAAGCAGGATGTAGGGTTTGTGCTTGAGTAGTGTCTGCCTGCTCTGCTCTGGAAGAGCAGGCACACAATCCACAAAATTAAGTTTGAACCAGACCCAAACCCTGTTGCCCATGCTCAGCCACATCTGGCTGCACGCTACAGCCAGCCCAGGGGCCAGGGAGCCAACATACCGTGGCGCTGTGCCCAAACTACGCTGCTCTTCCCCTCTCTCGCCGTAGCTCCAAAGCTTCTTGCTCAGAGCAGGGTCATGGCCAGGCACAGGCAGAAGACCCATGGTCTGGGGCAGGGGTGCTCAGTAAGTGGGCTACCCACAGCTGGGCCTGATATAGCTGGACAGGGCAGAGTTTGTAGAGCCCTGCATTATACTTGATTCTTTGACTCAACCCCACTGTTGCCTACAGTGACGGGGAAAGGTCCCTGGCTCTTTGGAGAGAATTACAGACTGTACTAGTTTGAGAATGAATGATTCAGCTTTCACTTGCAGGTGATTTTTGCAAAATATGTTTATGCAGACATAAAAGAACTCACTTAACAGTCCTTTTCAAAATGAAACCATCCTTTAAATGGAATTGAAAAAGGAATCTTTCCTCTCCATCTGTTTCATCTGTATTGAAAATGTAGATCATGGGCCCCATTTGTTTCAAAAGAAAAGATTTATGTCCTGATATTTTGTCCAGCTGCATCCTTCCCTCCTACCCTTTATTGCCATTGGCTGCTGTGGCTGTTGAACCTGCTGAGGCTGCTGGGATGAAGGCTGCTGCTGAGACTGTCCCACCATCTGGCTCCTCATCGTCTGCTGGCCACTGGGAGGGTTGTATATTGCCGGTGTCCCATCAGGATTTACAAATGGTTGACCTGAAACAAAACACCCTGCCTTTGCTGAACACTTTTAAGAACATACTGGTTTCTGTATGAAATCAAAACAACCTTTAACTGACCACTCTTCAGCTGACTTACTACAACAGTAAAGCACTCATCACTCTCAATGCCTCATTACAGTATCAGCCATCTTTTTTTAAAATTTTTTTTTGCAGGCAAGGCAGACAGCAGATATTTGTTTGGGCAGTATGACTTCCCAAAGAACGGGTGGAAGGTTCCCACTGCTAGAAGATTCAGGTGCTATGGTTACTTGAAGTCATTCAATGATGAATCAATTAATACTGACATTGAACTCTGAAGCAAACACTGAAGGCAGAGAATAGCCATGTACATTTTATTGCCACGCAACAGCAGTCAAATGCACACAACTACTCCTGACACACTGTACTTTGTATGGAAAGGGGAAAAAAAAAACCTAAACAACAAACCCATCCTTGTTACTAATTTATTTACACATGCTAATAACATAGTGCTGTACTTTTTAGAACTGTGCCCTATGCAATTAGAGGAGTTAGCACTGGAAGTTCTCAAGGAAGAAACACTTAGGATATCTTCAAAAATCTCTTATACACAGGACAAACTCTGTCCAAAGTTCTATTAAGTTGCTGAAGTCTTTTTTTGCTTCAGATATTTTAGCTGGGGGAAGTAACCTTGCAAAAGCAATGTTTGTTTAAAAAAAAAAAATAAAGAAAAAGAAAAAAGTTTATCCAAGTCATTGTCTTACAAACAACAACAACAAAAAAGGTATTTCTCTGCAGGGAAAATGTTTTCCATTATCGCAGTTCTCGTTTCACTTCTGTCATGAATTCATAAATCAGAGGAATTACAGATGTTTCCGTGAGAAAAGAGGAATTTTAGCAATGAAGTGAAAACATTTAAAGTAGGTAACTAAAGTATGAATATCTGAGATAAAAAAGGGAGATTGAGAGGAATTCGGTGACTGAGAGCAATAGTGAAATAATGAACTTCTGATTTGTATGCCACAAGCGCCTCTACCTGTTCCATCTACTCCTCAGCCTTTTCAGTTCCTCCCTCTTATTAAGCACAGTCAGAAATGGATGAGGAGCACCAGATAAAGAACCCTGGCCTTCTCTCTCTCTAAAGCATGAAGACTTACGGCATGAAGTCGACGTACTATACCGGGCCTATCTCACACTCACAGTGAAGAAGGTCATGGTTAGAGTGAGTGGAAGAGAAGCACGGGGCAATTCTGCCTACTGGCTGCTTTCCTGCTTCTGGCTGTGAAAACACTGGGTGACAATGGCATGGACTCCTTAGATTTGAGAGTCTCAGGCTCCAGAAGTACTTTAGGAGACTGGGGAAATCAGGCTGGGTGAGTGGGGTAACAGGCTCCCGAAGCTTGTGCCAGATGCTCAAGGGAAGCCACAAAGAGCGTTTCCTCTGGCCCAGCGAAGGATGACAGAACTGAAAGAGAAAAGGTCCAGCAATGCTTGTAAAGATGAAAAAAAAAGACCTGTTGTGAAGAAATCTTGAAATAAGAAATTAAAAGGAGAGATCAGACGGTAACAGTGAAGACATTTGTAAGTTATGAACTGTGGCCCTGATATAAGGGCAAAAATTGTGATGTCATTTAAAGAAGTAAGAATGAAACATAACCCCTTTGACAATTCAAGAGCATTTAAGTCTGAGAACTGGTCATGAGGAATTCTTTAAAGGGTAAAACAGACTGGTGAAGTGGGTGAAATGGAGAGTAAACCAGCATAGCCACATATGTGGTCCTTTCCCAAAGCAAGCAAGAAGCTTCTCTAGCTGGGGAAGGAGAAGAAACAAAGGGAACTGCAGATATGGGAAAGAAAGTGTGGGCTGCCAACACCTGAGAAGGAGCTGAGAGGTATAATCAGAGCCAGGAGATACTGACAGCATCTGTGGATGTCGTTAGAGGCTCGCACAGTCAGTGACTATGTAGCATGAAAGGAAGCAAAGATCTTTAAAGGACACGGTGTTATGATCAAGAGAGAGAAAAAGATTGGAAGTAGCCACTCTGCAAGAGGAGAAGAAAGAGCTAAAGAATGGTGTTACGCAGGGAAAGAAAATCTATTCATTACAGGAAACAAAGCTCCTTTTTCCTTTTCTTTAAACTGTCTTCTCTTCATCTATGTTTCTGACAGCATCCATCACTTTGATAGCCGATCACAGCATCCAGCAATCTAAATCTCCTCCCTATGGAGCTTCTTTTGTAATATTACCCTAATAAGATGCAAAGATTCTGAGCCCAAAGAGTGGTGAATTTGCAGTGTGTTTTGCTGCATGTTAAAAACACGGTAGATGCTACAGTGTAGCCTGACTTCCAGCACAGGTAGCAGCATGAAGCTATACATCTGGGACAAGAATTTCAGTCTTTACAAGACTCTGCTCCCTGCATTTTCTTTACTATGTGTGTATTTACAAGGGAGCTACAGAAACAAAACAGGCAGTTTGAAAGAAACGCAAAATTCTATGTACACAACACTTGCTCCCTGAATATTAAACACACTAACATACATGCAGCTCTTGGTGACACCTCTGCAGACAAGAAGGCAAGCTAGAAGGGAAGACCAAGCACTCTGGTCTAGTGACAGTATTGAAAGGCATTATATCTATGGCAGACAAAGACTCCCTAAGTACCGGGGGAAATTATGAGCTAGCTGCTGCAAGTCGCTAAATTGACAAAACAGATGGAGGAGATGTTCCTCTTAAACAGCTCTTCTGGCCTCCAAACGTGGCAAGCTGCAGCCTCTGTCCTTGCCACGGCCAGGAACGAACGCAACCTCTCAGCTGTTGGTGGGCTCCAAGCAGCAGTGATTCCCTTCACTTCTGTCTCTCAGTCCTATCACCTGAATGATAGATGGACTTCTGCCTAGGCCTGCGGAGTTTTGTATAGGAGTGGACCACATAGCACAGAAAATGCTGCCTTCTGCATTGACCAAGAAATTCCAGTGTTACAGACAGAACTGCCAACTACCAGAACAACGGAAATGAGTAAATTAATAATGATGGGGTTTGTCTTATGCCCACCTCCCATTCTGTCCTCTCCCCTGAGTCAATTTAAGAAATTACTAAAATCCCCGTTTATGCTGACAGTATTAGGCTCTCGCGTCAATAATGTAATAGCTTGAAAAAAAGTACATGTAAATAAGTAAAGAGTAACTTGCATAAATGTGTACTTTTCTAAGTCATCTCTCTGGAAAGAACACATTTGAATCTAAACAAACAAGAACTCCTCCCTGACTTTATATACACTGATATATGTTGATCAGCCCCAGATACTACTGTATCTAAATGTCCGTGGGAAGTTTGGTTTAACAGTTTGCCAAGGCTGTGTTTTTCTTACACGCTGCAACTTTCAGTTTTTCTTGACTGCATTCTGACTAAAAAAGTATTTTTAGCAGTGGACTCACAAATAAGCTTTATGCATTTGCACCAAAATGTTGGAACGCAGGGGTGTAATATACATTAAATACTGGTTAGAAGTAAAAATCCCCAAATAAAACGCTCCTGAGTGCTCTGTTGAGGACTCTGAAAAAAATACTTTGGAGTTCAACTCTCAGCTCGCAGTATAATGGAAAATACATTGCACTGTAGGCTTTATTATTTTAAACCCAGCATAACTCAGCTAAGGTTGACAGCGCGGCTAGTCATGGTCACTGAAATAGTCCAAATCACTGAAGAACCATCACACTCTCAACCTCCCTGAACCTTTTTAATGCTGTCAGTACAATACTGTGGGGAGTAATAGTGTAACATTATCTGGACTTCAGCTGGACTAAGGCGGTAACAAATTGCCTTAAACTTCCAGCAAGCACTCAAGTTCAAGCTGAGTGGTTTTCTGAAGTGTCCACAGTGCTTGGGTGACTGCGAATGCCTCCTTCAAGCACTGCAGTGCTGCTAACTACCAGGGCCACGATGCAGAACTGAAGAGATTATGACTTTCTCTTATCACAAAACTTCCGATTTAAATACAATTGCTAATCACATAAGGAAATTAACTCTGAAGCGCTAGTTCAGATGCAGCCTCTAAGCCTTTGGAAATTCTTCTGCTGTTAAGCACAAGCTCCAAAACTTTGAGCGTTGTATTTCAGTTGCACCCGTACCTCGGCACGCTTGATATGGAAAAGCATCTGTCCTTGCTGAAGCTAATGGGATCTCAGAGGATCCACTGCCAGGGAGTGCCAGGACTTTGCAAGATGAATATCCTGTCTGGGACGGTGAGTGTGTTTTGCATTACTTCCCACCGGCTACGCCACAACAGCCTCAGAAAGCCAATCCAGCTTTGCCTGCAGATTTGAAAACAACAACCTGCCAAATGTCATTTCTATATATATTTGCTGCCTCAAGGAAAATATCTCTAGAATCATGCAATTTGCCAATTCTCCAGATGACATCGGAAACACTGAAGGGCAGTACCAGGCAGGAGAGCATCATACTGACCTGTGTGCGGGTTGAGAAGGATGCTGCCAGGCGGTATCCCTGCAGCTTCAAGTGGAAGAATGATATAGCTGGTGTTGCTGGGGGCCACCTGGCCACTCATCCCATTCTCAGGGTAGGACACGTTGCCTGAAGAGCTGGCCGTCACCCCGGGGACAAGAGATGCACTTTGGAGAGGCTGATGTATTCGTGACAGGGATCCTGAGGAGCCAGCGCTGCTGGAAGACTCTGAGCCTAACGGAGAGACACAAACGCAGTGTGGGGTTTACAAGGGACTCCAGCCCCCATGGGACACGGCACGTACGCGAGGACAGCCTTCACAGGCTGCCAAGGCAAGCACTAGTCCATGCCCAGCTAGCAGGAGTGGGGTTTTCACTCCCTACTGAGCTCAGTATCCAGTGGTATTTCTGCAGTTCAGAAGACCACCTTCCTCCTGCAACATCTGCTTCCTCCCAGCCAGTAAAAAGCTATATCAAACAGAACACAAAATGCTCAGCGTATTTATAATGCCAAAGTATTGGTTCATAAAGCATAAAAACTAAACACAGGGTTTGTAAATGAAAAAAAAAACCAAACACCAACAAACCAAAAACCAAAAAAACAACCCCATGAAAAACCACCAAACATTTTCTATAAGGAAAAAAAACCCAAACCACCAGCAGCTGAGCTGTCAGTCAAGTAACAAGGTAGCTGTGCCGCACGTGTATTGACTTAAAGCTACCTAAGACTTTTGTCACTTTGACTTTTCAGCACCTAGCTTATTAAAATTGATCGATCAAGATAAATCAAATGTGATAAAACACATTTGTGCCTGGAAGGATGGGGAGAGCCATTATCTTAAAAAACCAAATATAATTTCCAAACTTCAGAGATTTACTTGATTAGATTTCAATTTGCTTCATGTAAAAATGACAAGAACCCCTGAGAGTGTGGGGCTCAGATGAACGGCTTCCTTAAAGCAGGATGTTAAGGCAAATACAAGGGAGGTGTGAAAGCAAATGCCTGTATGGATGCTTCCTCCCAAAAGTAAAGTAAATTTTAATTGCAACTTCTTTTATTTTACTTCTGTGCACTGTTTATGCATCTTACATTAATTGCTAACCTCCTCAGTGCCCTCCTGCAGGTACAGATTAAAAGAAAAGACAGAACTCAGACTTAGGTTTTAGCAAACTACTTTTGTAGAGGGCAAATTACAGCCCTTCATATTTGGGATACCACAGGAGGACCCAGCAGTAGACCGCTTAGAGCCTTAGATTCATTCTCAAATCCATATTGGAATTAATTTATTTCCTCATAATTAGAGCAAAACAGGTTTCCTCTGAAGAAATCACACCAGCATCCTGTTACTTAACAGAGGGTCTTTTCACAGATTACTGCTAATTGCTGTGTAAACTACATTTTTATCCATCTTCCTCAAACTTCATATTCATATGGCAGCTACTACACAGAGAGTCCTCTTTTATGAGCTGTGCACTATTTTCCATCATCAGGGCCCTAAGTCAGATTATCCAGTATCTAATCAAGAAAGTAATAGAGATTTCAGAAGAAATTTTTAATTTCTATAAATACATTTCCAAGTTGTATTAGTTGCTATATTCTTCCCCTCCTTGTAGACTGAGGTTGGAAATCTAGAAAGATTATTCTGGCAGGGATAGTTTTATTCATTGGATCGTTTCAGATTTCAGTGTTTCCGCAAATTGCAGAGATATTCCCAGAGGTCGTCCTCATCAAGCTGCAAGCAGTATTTGGCATCTTCCTCATATGTAATGTAATGTAAATGCAACCGCAGGAGTTTAATTTTCCTTCTACAGCAGTTACCAGGTCCTTTCCTGCATTTCCCTGGCCCTTCTACATGCTCTTCACGTTGCTGCTTTGAGTTCTTGCTTTACTTTCTCCTCTTTTCCATCACCTATTGAATTCAACGGGTTAGAAAGCTACCTGGAGAAGCAGGACTGGTGATGAGATTTCATAAACCTCCCATTATTTCTAAGCGTGTAAGTAGTATCAAACCTGAGTTCAGACTTCTCTCTCCCCATTCTGCGCTATTCTGAAGAAACGCCGTTAGCGTAAAAAAAGATTGCAGCTCTGACACTCAATTGTTTTTTTTTCTTTTCCACCTTTCAGCTGTTTTTATGGCAGAATCACAGATTGATTTTTAGCAGCTTCTGAATGTTAAAAGCTAAAGGACTGCAATGAATTCAGATGTACTCATCAAATGGTAGGGAGAAGCAGTGGAACAACCTCTGGAGCTATTACCACGCATGGGCCAAATGATAGCTTTGAAACGTCTGCCTTAAAAGATCAGAGATCTGCTTGCCTACGTCAGTAGATCAAGTTGGTGATTTTGAAAGAACACAAATAACACACAAAACCATTTCAGCAATTTTCTGAATATTGGAAAAAAAAAAATCCCAGAAATTATTACTGAACCAATTTTTGCCCCCATTTATCCTGTTTAACAATGATCTGGTTTAATTTTTTTGCCATCACTACAACTTATTTCCTATCATTTTAAGTCTAGACACATTAAGCCAAGTAAATTCCAACAGTAATATTTGGAAATTAACACCAATTAATCTTGTCTTTGTAGCTCTGATTAGCTGTTTTCATGGTGTCTAAATGTGGAATAAGAAATCACCACATAATGAATTCAGTACTGTAGCAAATGAAAAAAATGAACTATCTGACTTTATTCAGATTCACATTAAGAGATGTCTTGGTAAAGACTTCTGAAAGGAACTTTGACTAAATGAGATTTTTGCCCCCATTACACCTCTTTTCCAGTATGTAATGATGGCTACTTCTTCCAGACTCTTCTATAATTTTCTTGCTGCTTCACAGTTGACATAATAATAACCTTCATTTTCTCATCACTTTCCATTAATATATTTTTGAAGAATTCTGAGAGATACAGCAGTTCAAAGAGTGGCAAAAGAAAAAAAGAGACAGAAAAATCACCACAAAGTCTTAATAGCTTAGGGGGTTGTGGAGGGAGAGCATGGAGGTACCACTGATTTGCCAATATCCTGAGTGCTAGCGAGGGATGCAACACCTCTTGCTCTCTTTTCTTTGGGTCAGCATTCAGTATCTGACGACTCTGAACTTCTCTGTTCACCCCACCTTCCAAGTCCAAGGCAAATTTTTTTCTTTTTTATCAACTGGACTCTCAAGATCTACCCACTACTTGATCCAGACGGCTAGGCTTTTTGGAGCAGTACAGTGCTGATCACCTCTGCAAATATTTTTGTCTTGGATAAAGTTTCTTGGCTTAGGAATATTTATTTGCTACTTTTATAAGTCACTTGCATTTCTGTATTTTACAATGTATTTAGGGGGGTTTTTTTATAATAATGGTATGTGCTCATGTGAACATGATTATTCCTCTGCAAGTTGCACTTCTAAAAATAAGATTGATGTTTCAGCACCGTCGGTTGGTGGGAAGCGTATGACTGGAAGCAGTTGGCTCGTGATTTATTGCCCATACATCAACTTTCCTGCAGTTTCTCTAGGACTTGCAAGATCCATCAGGCTAATGCCTGATTAAGAAAGCAGAAATCCAGTTCCAAAACTCAGAGACAAAATTATAACTTACAGAATACTTTATCACCAAAAAAAAAAAAAAAAAAAGAAAAAAGAAAAAAAAGAAAAGAGGTTAATGTACCGAAATGCCTACAGTATAATCATCTTTGCCTAACAGGAGTAGCAATGAACACCTAACAGGAGAGATTAGATTGTGTCTCCAATTACTTGGAGCCCTGCCAGGGAAGTTAAGGATCCCTACAGATCTCTGTCAACACAGCTGATCCCCCAATGTGGCCAGCTTTTCATACATGGGGAGGGAAAGAAATACACTCCAACAGATGTGCATTCCACTGAATGGAAAATGCATTAAGAGAAGCTAAGGATGCAATAGTTACCGCTTTTAAATCTTCCAACAATTGTTTAAATAGCGGTGTAGATCCACACACAGAGGACATTGCTGCGAAACACATCTCCCCTCCTAATAACACGTATTAAAACCTTTTGTAATGTGTCACTGAAAATAACATGGGAGTTTGTGAGCTAGATTTTCTCTTCGTGGGTGTGGTTAAGAGACTGAACAGGTATATCTTTGATGCCTACAGGGACACCTATTTCATTTACAACTATACATGCTTAGCCAATCCTGGGAAGTGCACTATATTACTGGAGATCTAAACTAACCAAGGTTTTGTACAATGACCTAAGTTGTGGGAATGCGATCTGATTTCAATTTGTTAAATTATTAACTCCCCACTCAATACTGAATCATAACTTAATACAGCTCCATGTATCTACTAAGCTTCAGAATAACAGAGCAATTTTATTTGCAATATACAACCTGTGCTTTTCAGTAGAACAGGTCTTTCTAAACAATCAACAGGTACATGAAAATCACCATCAGAACCAGCAAGGTAACCATGTAATGTGTCTCCAACAGCCCCTTTTGTGAAGTTTGCAAAAATGCAGTAACAGAATTCCTTTGCTAAGCTCTAATTCCCATGCAGCTGAATGCAATTAAAGTGCAAGACTAATTGACACTACTGGGCTCTACTGAGGAGAACAGCGCATTCCATGATCTGTCTCTGTCTAAGGGGAGGCTAACACCTTTCTGTGCTTCAGTTTCTGTTTGTCTGCTACATACCACTAATTACTGATTTACCAGAAGTTAAGGTCAAGGGCAGAACATTTACTTTTGGTGACAATATTAAAAATTATCCAGAAGGTCTACAATGATAATATTGCATCGTTATACATACTCTCAAAGGCAGCTGTGAGAGCCATCTGTGAAAATCCTGAAAGTTTTAATATTCACATGCTCAAGAAGTGTCTTTGACAATGCTTCTGGATGACTGTCATATAGGTAGAATAGTTTTCACATTTCAAATGATCACAAACATTTTCCATCATTTAGCAAGTGAGGAACAGTTTGACCAACTGACTTCAGAGTTGATTTCATACGTACTGCATGCAAAACAAAAATGTTTTAAATTTATTCCTGTGAATCACAAACCACTTCAGGGAACAGACTAATACTTTCTGCAGAGGAGAACCAGGACAGAATTGGTGCCTACCAGACTCTGCCACACTACCAGGGCAGCGTGCCTGATGTTTCTAGCCAGACCCCTGCAATCCCATTTCAATCACTGTAGTAAGGACAACAGAAAATAAACAAAATCCCCCAAAATAAAAACACGATCAAGCTTTAAATGTGTATCGAGCTGTGGAACACCCAGCGCTGCCTACAACTGGAGTACAGAATGATGAAGATCTAATGCAAAAACATGCACAATGAAATGTTGCTTTGTAGCTAATGTACCTTAAAAACTTACGCAAATGGCACGTGGGGGCTCTGACAGCCGTATGAATGCACTCAGTGGGTTTTTTTGTGAAACGAGAACACTTTATCAGGCATATTTCCCCATTATTTTCTGAACAGTCATTCTTTTCTGCTTTAATGCCATTCAATAACATTTTAGAGAAGAGGACAGAAAAAGTGATTCAGATATTATTTACTCTGACTTTCTTTACGCTGACTGACAGCTTGACTTTGTGTCCTGGCTTTGAAGGTGTAAGTTTATTTTAACATCCAGCCTTGCTCTTTTTCCCCACCTCTTCCTTTTATTTTGTTTCTTTTTTACTCTTTCTGTGCTCACATAGCTTTCAAATTTAAACACTTAGCTTAAAAAAAAGTCAAAGCACTTACAATATGTAATTGCTCTGGAAAGAACACGGATTTTTCATATCACTAATGTTGTAAAAATGTATTGTAAGAGCTTTCATTTGAAAGCAATTTTGGGGTTGGTGCACACGAAGTGCAGATGCATTTACAAGTATTGGCATGCTTCAGAGATCTCTCCTTTAATACATTTTCTAAGTGCACCCTTTAATATGCTTGATTTTAAACACTAAAACAGCGACTTTAATTTATTACTCTTCTGCAATTAGATGTCTCAACCCTCCAAAACGGATTTCCCCAACACCATTTTAAATGCTCTGCACCTCTGCAATACAATGCTGCAGAGAAATACATTTACCTGCCCTCTACCGAAGGTGAATGATACAAAAAAAGTATACCACGAACCTGTGCCTCCTCCCTACTTCATGCATATCAAATTGAATTCCGATGGAATGGAAAGATTCTCAGGAGGCAAAGAAATCTGGAGGTAAACGCATGGTCTACTGCATACTTCGGGCCCCACTGTATAGCCTATTCAGCCTTTATACAAATAAAAAATACAGGAGTGTAGTTTCAAAACTACATACGCACTGGTTTTGCTATGTTGCACGTGCTCACGCTCAGGAACAAGCCAGAGGTAAACAACTATACTTTACTAATTTTCAAGGTCAAATTCATGTCTTAATTCCATAGAATTTTACATACGTAAGGATGGAGTAAAACTCAAGGAGTATCTTAGCTTAGGAAGGGACCCTTATGGTTCCCTTCCAACTTGAGATATTCTATGGTTCTATGAATCTTAAGGTAATAAACCCAGTATTTGTCTAGGGTCTCAAAAGAAACATAAACCAGAAGCATTATGAAAAAAAAGCAGGATATTCCAAAAGCTCCCAGCAGCTTTATGAGCATCAGGGTTTGAAAGAGCAGCTTTCCAACGAGCTGCGTTCCTTTCCAGCTGTGAAATATAACAACATTTTTAACTATGTTCAAGATCCGGAGGTCCAGAACATAGTTACAAAGTCAAAAGTTTTCTCTATTTACTCCGAAAACTCCATTCCCCAGCATCCTGAATCACAACAGAGGCTACCATACAATTTTGGGAATAAGGGTGAAATCTGACCAACCAAGGTTTGATAAGCTGGGTTTAAATTAAGTACTGTCCATAAAACACCCTCAAGCTGAAAAAGCACTAAGTGCTAAGTATTGATTACCACTTATCTTGTACTATATATATCAAATGAACCAAACTGATGGAATCATTTGATGGGCTCATTATTTATTATGCGCTTTTACACAAAAAAATATAATAGAGTAGCTTAATGGCATGTCTTGAAATTACTTAGATCCAGACCCTCTGACTCACTCGTATGTTAATGTACCCATGAAGTTAATGCAAGTAAATGCAGATTTCCCACAAGGTTCGTAGTCCCCTTAAACGGTGCCTTCATTTAATGGGAACTAAACGAGAAAATGGAGAGCCCGCGGGACCTCCGTGAATCCAGCACTTCAGACTGCTTCCACCACAGCTCACTGCCTCACCTGCCAGCAGCGAGGGAGAGGCTGTACTTCCAAGGTACAGAGGGTCTGCATTTTAGCAACGACAACAAAGTGTTCTTGGATTTCTCGTCAGATACATGACATTTAATTCTTCATGATTCAAGAGCAGCGAGATGAATAAAAAGGTAAAATCTGTGCTTTGTCTGAAAGGACTACCACCTTTTCAGGCTACAAGTGAAGTGTTCAAATAGGACGTGCACGTACTCTGCTCCAGGAAAAGCCTATCATACCTTCGATTTCCAAACCTCAGATACCAGGTCTTCTTGATTCCTAAAAACTCAATACCAGTACCCAGACACGAGCATATGTCGATGGACATACACATCTGCTAATGCACAGGAAATACAACAGTTCCTGTAATTCACCATGTAGTCCAACCCCCATGGTTAGATGATGTCTGAAGGTCCCTTCCAACCCAAACCATTCTGTGATATACCACACTCAGGCAAGTACCAGCACAGCCACTTATCACCGCACAACAAGAAGAGCTGCGAACCCAATACAGTACTGGCTACCTGTTTTAGACAGTTTGCCGGTACTTCTGTTACTTGATGAGCTATCTCCTCTTGTCAGGACGGTTATCCCACCAAAGCTGGCTGTCTTTGTTATGGCTGGCTTCAAATTTCTATTTGAGCTGTCCGAGTCTGTGCTGCTCCATGGCCTCTGGTGGTCTGTCCACTTCAATTCATTCTCCGTACTGCTCTGCCGACTGCCAGATGCCTTCCCCGTGCTGTCTCTGTTACCCCTACAGACATCAGGAAACAGAGATTTATACACAAACAAAATCACGCCTGGGCAGAGTCTATCTTTGGGTACCCTGCAGCGAGCCTAATAAAGAAAAAGGAAATACTCCGTATTTACGAAAGCATGCCTGAAACAAGGGATTTGACCCCAATACTCATCTGCCTTCAGGAAATAAACACTGCTACACCCTTTCACATGCACAGCACTTACCACCGCTCCCCTTTTGCATATATCCTAAGAGCACTTCACCGGACGGGGCTGGCGCAGCAATATTACGCAGCACTGACGTAGCATTTCTGTTGCTTGTTGACCGGTCTCTTCCCTCAGCAAGCCCCTCGCTACTTCTCCCTTTGCTCTCCATCACCTGTAAGGTTTTTCTCACTAACTTCACCTCCTACCTTTGTCTTCACATCCACCCTCCTGATTTCTATTGCAACTTGTCCCCACTCATCTGCCTCCTTATCTGTTCTGCAGTGTCACCCAGAGCCTTCCCCTAAACACGTGTCCTCCCAGCGTGACCCCAAACTCTTCAGTGCTAACTCTCTGCTTAAGAGACCCACCAGTTGGGGGTTGTTTGGTTTTTCCCTCCACGTACACTAATTGCAAACATCTCTGGGTAGAGACTGCCTGTCCTCAGACAGCCGCAGAATGCCCAGTGTATTCTGAGTGACAACACAGTAAACTGTGAGCAGAATTTGGAGGAGAATTTGGCTTTTTTATGGTGGACAGCTTGCTTACAATGTGCTGCTAAAACGACAAAACCAGCATGCCTACTACAGCTTAGTGCACCATGACCATTATCCCAAGTGATGCTAATAACACTGCCTTTTGGAAGGCTTTTAGAAGACATTTGCCACCCCTCTGTCTTATTTTACAGTATAATACCTTGCAGGCTCAAAGCGCTTTTCTACAACTCAAAAGGATGGGACTGTATCTATTTTTTTTTTTTGGTCCCCTTTCTCCTTGCGAACGTGGCTCCTGCTTTTTATTTGGAGAACCTGCCGAGCTGTGCCACTCGGGACGTGAAGGAGCAGCGCGTCAAAGACGGGATCAGGCTGGTGCGTTCCTTGCCTGTGATCAGAGCCTCTCACAGATGTGATCAGCAGTATTAACCTGTTGACCTTTGCTAGACCCAGACACTGGGAAAGCATGAAGAGAAACAGCACAGAAGCAACAACATAAAAAAAGGAAAAAGGTTTTAAAAAGAAATTGTCCTTACGATTTAAGTGGAAAGAGAAAAACAAAGTATATTATTTACAAATTCTTTTGCATTCTTGTGCTCAGAAATTAACAGTTCATATTTACGTTCTAGCGGAAAAGAGGAAGAGAAACAGAATGCTTTTGTATCCCAGCTATCTGTGGGTTTGGGTTATACAAAATTCCTTTTTGTTCTCCAAACTTGAACAGATATTAAGTTATTAAGAGTCTCTGCGTGTAAGACGCTTCCTTATTCCTGCACGCCCAATCCAAGACTCTCAGATCATCAAGGCTAGCCCAAAACATGAAGGAGAGTTTTTCTGCCTGCTGGCTGTGGCCATGGGATGCAGCTCCAGATGCTCCAGCGCTGCTCCTTATCTGGTGCAGTCTCACCATCTCCTCTGGGGCTGCTGTGCTGATGTGCACGGTCAGCAACCACACGTCAAATAATCCTGCATCCCTTCTTCCTCATAAAGAAAAATCATGCAATATAGATGATATAGGTTTGAAGTGACACAAACTATCACTACTACATGTGGAAACCTGAATGCATACAGACATCTAGTGATCACCCTACTTCTGCCTAGCTATCCACGTGCCTTACTGGATGAAGGACATGCTTCTGAAAGCATCCATTACTTCTGCCCACTCTGCTTAAGACTGGTGCCAGCTGACTGACTTTGAAAGCAGCTTGGCTTGCTGGAATCAGGTTGATTTGAACTGAACCTGTGGGAGCACACCGTGTGGGAAGAGAGCCTTTCTAAACTTCTCAGAGGAATGCTGTCACCACCAGGTTGGGTCTTCCACTGATTCAGTGCGTCAACCGACAAAAAGAGTTATCCATGAAAATACAGACCAACTCCTACTGATTCCCTGTAATGTGGGACACCATTTGGGATACAGGATACATCTGAATGTTCTCTGGGCAGAAGGAGTTGGTGTTTGGAAGACAAAGGTCACAGAGAAAAAGTTTCAAAACATTGCTGCTTTAGATAAGGGAACTTCAATCAGTTTCACCTAATCATACTTTTACTTCATAATAAATAAACCAATAAAAGAAAAAAAGTCAGTCTGGGCATTAATCTGCGAAACGTGTCTGTGACATATACTAGAGCATTACAAACTTCCACCAGTCACAGCCACCCCCAAATCGTGGCAGTCTGGGCAGCTGAAAAATCTGATATTGTTCCTGAGCCAGCGATCCATAAAACCCAAGGAAAGGGTCCTGTTGTGACCTCCCCATTCGGAGAGCGTGGGATGAGCGGGGTAAGAACTCTGTTCTCCATGCTCCTTTCCAACCAGAAAAAAATGGCATACCCACACCCATCAAGGTCTCCCTCAGTGAGGACATGGATAGAATCACGAGTGAGAGTTACCGGGAAATGAATATTAAATAAAGTCATACAAACCTAAACAGCTGTCTTTTCTTATGGGTATCATTGCATATACTACTGTCTTCCAACAGCCTACTGAAAAATGAAAAGAAAGATTATGGTAACAGACATGGTAATGCAAATTCATCTTATCTGTAAAGCTCTATTTAATTTCTTGCAACACCTTCCAATTTGCGCTAGAGTCATAGTTTAAAAAAGCAAGGCTAAAACTGCCCCCCTCCCTCTCCCATAACTGTGCACAGTCAACTGAACGTAAGAAATGTCAGCCAGGGAGGCTGAAGGCCATTTAACATTTCCTGTTACCAAGCAAAGTAATTCTCAGAAGCCAAGGAACATACACCTACATCCAAAAGAAAATTCATAAAAATATCACCTAATAAGAATGTAAAAAAATGCAAGCCAGCAAAATACTGCATATATAATTTTATGCACTTGCCAAGTCCCTTGGTAATCTCTGCAGCTCAGAGAAATGCTCAGGTTCTCTGATGAAAAAGAAAAGCAAAGCACTTAAACACATACCTAACTTTCAACACAGCAAATCAACAAGGTTGCTCATGTGCACAGAGCTAAGTATGAGCTTAAGTGCTTCACTGGATCACAGGCTGTAAAGCACGCAGCAAGAAAAAGCAGTGTCCCGAGGAAATCTCCCTCCTGACAACAACAGTGCAGGCAGTAACAGAAGCCCAGTTTCCAGCTTGCCCTTTTACTGGTCTCCACTTGGGTATGCATCCTCACACTGGCAAAGCTGGTCAGCCAGCTCATGGGTTTGAGCAAAGCAAACCAAGTGCTAACACCAGAACTGGCCACATTCTTCTGCATGCTGGTGTGGGATTGAATGCACAAACCAATGAAGGCCTGGCTGTGAGGTTCATGGTGTAGCCCATAAAGGTCCCCACCCTACCCTTGGCAGTGCAGTGTCTGAGCACTTTCCACACTGACTTGGGAACATGAACAACTACGTCACGTTTATTGTCCCGTTCTCTCCAGAGAGGGAAAAGTAGGTTTATGAGAACATCTTCTTTAGGCCCTCTGTTGCATTTTTTTATTTATTTTGGTAAAACATATCTCCACAGTCATGATACAGAAGAAGCAGCTGAGGAAATATCCTTGGCTCTCAGAATGCGAGGTAGGTAGGTGACAGCAGCCATTACATCCTGAGGGACTTCTCCCATTCCAGTTTCAGGACTGTTCATCGGAAAAACTGGTTTGTACAATTCCTGTGGAGTCATTTTCTATAGGAACAGCCTTACCCATAAATGCATCTGACAGATGTAAAGATGGACAGAGACAGAAATACTGTGAAAGATAACCTCCCCTTCTTCAAGGGGATGATAAACAGTTTTAAAACCTGCACAGGACAGACTTGGGCTAGCACTGCTCACTCGCCAGTGAAATTCTCAGCATTTTGGTTAAAATCTTTATCTGCCATAAAGGTGCACAATTTCTCAGATCTTCAACACATCTAAGCTAATTTACGGCTGCTATGGAGCTAACACTTGGTATTTTGTAGATCTTAGTTAAGCACAGTTTCTCCTCCCCTTTGCTTTAAATGGATTTATTATGATAAAATGAACATGCATAAGAACTATCACACAGTAATGCAAGGTAACAGTTGGCTCAGACATCACCGTTTCATTACTACAATGCAGCAGTAAAGCAGGGCTGGTCCTGGGAACTTGGTGAGCCTTCACAACCAACAAATGAAGCCAGCAGAGCCGCTCAGCCCCGCAGGGGAGCAGGTTAAACAACAGAAACGCAAGTGCGGTGTTTCAGAAATACCGTCATCCGGGCACTGCTGGAGTGCTTTTTAAAGATCAATAAGTTAAATTCTAAAGGCACTCCAGAGGCAAGTCAAGCATTTGAAATGAAACATTAGGTGGGTTCCCCAACCCACCCCCCACCCCACTTTTTAAACTGAAATGCAAAGTCTTGGGAAAGCAGCAGTAAGTAACGCCTTATCTGCTCAGATACAATACCGCAAGGTAAGCTCTTTCCCCCCTCTTAAAGCAGAAAAACACTGCAGATAATATGGATTACAAATTTGCTCAGCAGCCTTCACATTAGGATAAACAACTATAGAACTATAGTTAGACAAAATTATAAGAGAGAAACAGCTAAGTTTAACACCAAAAAAAAAAAAAAAAAAAGCTATTTTTTACCTGTTTTCCACAAAAAGGTTTTCCTGGGAGCAAACTGACTGAAAAATAAAAAAGGCATTGTATCAGACGTTCTAGATATGCTCTGCTGTTCCAGTTCCTTCCTTGATTTTAGAATTATCTCCCCTGTTCAGGCTTAAGGGGATTTCAATTCATGCATCATTTGCATTTGCAGAAGACAAGAGGGAAAAAAGGTCAAGAATAAGGTCAGGCCAGTAAAATAAATTCATGCATTACAACACATTGCCAACGAGGGGTCTCAGTTTGGAAACAAACTGAAACTTCTCAGTCCTGAGATCAGAAGGCAGCGATATGTGCAAAATACTGGCAATTCGAAGGGGAAAAATGTTTTTCCTACATAGCATAAGGTTCCACTGGTCTGCCCTACCACCTCAAAATAGGATCGCAAAATAGCAAGAGCTGCAAGTAGGAAGGACAAACAGGAGGAAAGCATGCAGAATTGACAAAGTTCTTCAAAGGGAGAGAAGATACTGCAGTACTTAGAAATACTATGTGATTTCACATTTCATGGTTGGAGAGGAAACAGTCATACCCACATTGAGATATAAAAAGATGATAATCATCTTAATAATAATATTAACAACAATAATGTCTATTGCAAAAAGGTTCTCTGCTGGAGGACTTAGATCCTGAGAAAGGTGAAAAGCTTGGAAGAAATAAATCATGTGGGCAAGTGTATAATTCTTTTAGCATTACTTAATTTTTTATGCAGAGAAATGAAGCTGTGCTCAATTTCCCATGAATAATTCTCTCTCTCTGATTTTTTTCATTTCCCTCCTATTTCATGTTCACTACACAAGTGCCTTGTAGCTGTCATTGGATTATATCTCCATGAGGTACAGAAGAAAGGACAGTCAGTACTTGCACTGAATTTAAACAAAAAGGCAGGCAAAGGGAGGAAGGCACCAGAGATCGTGCCTATTACTTCTGTAAGAACGGGACTCAGCTCAAAGAATAATGCAATGCCATCATTAGCTGTGTCAGATTTTAATGGTATGGGATACGTGCGGATTTGGGATGTTTCTGTTTTGAAAAGGGTGAGCTAAGGACCTACACAGAGAGCATTGGCCAACACCAGAAGCAACACCCTGCTCATCCCCAGTGCTCCAGCAGATGCATGGGCAAAGCTTTCCCGTGGCACCACAGCCAGTGCCATCCCATCAATTTACACAAGGAATTAATTTAGCTCTGAGAAGGCAATGCAGTTTCTCATTAAAGCTGTAATTCGCCCACCCAGCATCCACATCAGGGAACATCTGACAGCTCCGTGGGCTTCCTGGGCGAGCTCCCACCCTGCACTCCAACTAAACACACAAGGCTCTGGGGCTGCATCGGTGGCAAGCACGTTTCTCCTTAGCACAAAGCCTCGGGGTATCAGAAGCAAGTTCTCCACTGCCAGGGACCAAATTCCCACCAGCTACAGCAGACCTAGGGTTTCACTCCAGGCCAAAAGGAGACACAAACTGCTCCACCTAACACCACTGGGATCCTCTGCACAACTACGACGCTGCCTCTCCTCTCATTTTATGTACCTTACTCACAAGGTTTCATTAACAAATGTGGCTGTTCAGACTTCAGCATAGCCCAACTACCTATGAGCATTGTGAAATCACCCCATGGGCTTGTACAACCTCAACTGTGGGGCTGTGCGGTTTCATTTTGAGGTTCGTGATAGGCATTTGTGCATTGACTTCATTGCAGTCACAGTTCCAAAGCAGCGTTATGGACACTCTTCCAGAACAAGCGAGTAAAAACCTTTGCTCAGACCAGAGTACTGGTCTGTGTCTCCAGAAAGTTAAAAAAGCATAGGGGCACATACCTGACTGGAATTTTTTTTAAACTTCATTGTATTTTTTCAAGAGACTGGTGCATAAATCAGAATAAGTATCTGGGATTTATATTTTACCAAGCAAGCAAGTGGAGAGGACCGCTCCCTTTTCTGTGTCTTGATGGGAACCACTATCCACTGCATTACAGACTTAAAGACAGAGTCTGTAATAACTCCATTTGTCTTCCTGGCTGACGATGCTGGCACAGGGCCACACAGTACCCAGAAACTATTTTTCAGTACAGTTGTGGGGCCGAGAGGCAGAGAAGACAGGCACTTTTTTATTATGTTATTCTTACTGTTAAAAATCAGATGGCTAAGCAGCTCTGGATAGCAATTTAGCTACTACAAGGTCAGGACTCACTTTCCTGATCTATAGCCTCAATAATGCTCAATTTGAAGCACCAGGAAAGCTTAAGTACACAGCACAGCTATTGTCAAAAACATTCTTAAAACACTTGGCTCTCGTGTACTTGCCAAAGACATTGACAACAAATCTACGGAAGGAAAAAAGTTATGCAAGATTACCTACAAATTTGCCTCCTCGGAGACCTCCGCATGCAAGATTTCCATGCTCTGTATGACTAATTGTCATTTATGAAATAAGTATTTCACTCTTCCAATTTCCCAGAACCTTTTAAAAGTCTCAACTGGAAAACATGCATCAGCTTTGTCAGTGTATACTGGGGGTTGCTGCTCTTGTTTTTAATCACATTAGCCAACATAGATAACTATTAAGACGCAGCAATATCCTGCAGTGGATACCATCAGGTAATCATTTTCATGTCAGTTAACAAGATGTGATAGATCTCAGGCTTCTGACTAATGCTCATTGCTTGATCTACAGCCACAAACAAAGGCTCTGTACAGCAGCATGGGAGATTTAGTACCTACAGGTTTATGGTAGCCAATACGAGGCATGTCTTTGTTTTGTTTTTATTAATTTTAAACCTCTTCTTCATCTTTTCCTACTAGAAGGATAGGACAGGCTGAAGCCACCTTTTCAAATATTTCTTCTGTGACTGTCTTTAAACAGAGAGTGATAAAGATCCTCAATGTCTTCTTAAGTAAAGGAATCATGATTTATTTTATCTAAAGGATCTGGCTCTTGAGAATACACTCCTTAGTCAAAAATAGCCATTATAATTAACAACAAATAATAAAAAGCACGTGTATTTCCTTTAATAAGTTCCATGTGTACCACGGGCAATTCTAGCATTTGTGTAAGTAATAACACATCTACATTTTTCAGAGAATGCACAATGATTACTAGAGAATACATTTATGAACAATGGATGGTCCTTACATGATTCTGGCTCATGAGGTTATACATTGCATTAACCTCAAAGAATGAAATTTCCCCTATGTAATTTGATTGCTAGTCTTTAGAATCAATTTTCTGCATGCTTAGAAGCCAAACGTAGGATACCATTTATTCACGCATTTGGGATTCTCAGTTAAATCTACAGTTTGAATTAACGC